GATGTGTATAAGAGACAGATTTCTAAGTGATCACTGTGCTTACAATAAAGTTTAGTCAGACCCATTTAATTTGATATTATATTTATTAGGTCTATCTCTATTAGTTTACGAGGTAAAAAGGGGTGGCCACTTATACGGGGACACCCTATATAACATTGATTAAGTTTACAATTTTAAATTTAATCTATTATTATTAATAAATTACAAAAAATAAATTATGATAATGTACACAGTCTAAATTTAAAATGTAATTTTCGACTACGTACTTCCAATCATTTCTGCATCATCTGCCTCTGCCTTTGTAAAATTATCAAGGTTTTTTAAGAATCGATTATTGGTGCGTTCATGATAAAGTTTCCTCTCCTCAATAATCTATATGAATATAACATAAACATTAATTCTTTTTATTTACACAATATTTTAACATTTTGACAATATTTATAAACTATCTTGTAATATTCTTATACAGTTATGGAATATTATAACTTTTTTAAGTAGGTTACATTTAAATATAATATTCAGTAACTAACAATTAAGTAAATAATTATTTTTTACGTACTTGATCAGTAAATCCATGTAATATTTTTATAACTTCTCTTTGCTCTCTGCCTTTTGACACCAATGAAAATATCCAATCGTTATGCAGCCACTGCCTTAATAATCTAAATTAAAATTACCGAATAATAAGCTGTTATTTAAAAAAATGGATAGAGTATTATTTTGTAAAATCTTTTTTTAATTATCACTATAACACTTTTACCACTGCTAACATTTTAACCATATAAGAAGAGAACAGGTAATATAACGTATTTATTGTGCTAAGAAGATATAAAGGATCTGAATTTTGTAATTTTTTTTATTTTACATTTTTAAATGACATGTTTCAGTATAACATTTTAAAAATTTAAGCAACATTTAATATAATTATATTTAAGTATAATTAATAATAGTTATAATGGATCAGATGCAATATATAATTTTATTTATTAATTGTTATTGTGAATTAGTAAATGATGTTTTTAAGTAGTATTATTATAAAATATTATTATAAAGTATTTTTTTTGTCCTGATATAATTATATAATGTTAATATATATCTAATTAAGACAGAATATTGATATGTCGTATTTATTTATTATATCTTTAAATTACCTATATATAAATAATTCCTGCATCTGATGAATCGCTTCTCGATATTTTCGTTGTTGATTTTCATCAATATTTCGTAAAGAAGTGCCCATAACAGTTTCTGCAAATATATTTTATATTATTATTCATTCCAAATAAAGTTCTGTATATTCTGTATAATTGTGAATAAAATATAATACCGCATATTGTATTCAGCGTATATTCGTTAACAAATGGTATTAAATCTTTTACAAATGAGCCTTCCGTATTTTTTAATGACTTTATCATATTTTCGCCTTCCTCAGTCAAAATCTCAAGAAATTGCTGTAATATATTAAAATGAAATGCCGGAGATAATATTTTCCGCTGTGAATGCCACTTGGCGCCTAAAACATAATCAATATATGATGTTTTATGAAATGTTTTGAAATAAATATTATTAAGATAATCCGTATTTTTTTATTCAATTTTTAATTAATTACTTTTAATTGTTATTGGTTATTTTATATTTATTTTTGTTATACATTGAAAGTTATGCAACAAAAAATTGTGCAATAAAATATTTTCCTGAACAAAATAATCTTTTATAGCTTCTTTCAATGATTTTTTTGTGATACAGACGTAATTACAAATATTTATGTGTACGTAAATTAATAATTATATAAATTTAGATCCAATTCTATTAATTAATAATAATGTCATTAATTCTATTGTAATTAGAGTTGTTAATTGGAAAAAATAAACTAAAATTTCTTTATAAAAAAATTTTTAGGAAAATCTATCCTAATTGAAGATATATTATATCAAAGTTATTTATCATAGTGACTGCACACGTATTTGTATTTACATTATACAATCACACTTATCACTATATATGGAAAAAATTCAACTTTTTTACATAATTTATTATTTAAAATATCTATTATTTAAATTTATTTCTACACGCAGGTTTTTGTTACCAATGTAATGAAAACTTGGTCGCAAATATGTAATAATTGTTTTTACATACACGTTACCTGAACTAATAAAAAGACCAGTGCGCAACCAAGGATATAAAATATCATAAAACATACTTTTATTGATGTGCTTTGGACTGCTTAATATTATCTGAAATGATAAAGAGAACTAAACTTATTAATTAACTCGAATACAATGTAGATAATTAATTTACTCAAATTATCTTGAACATTCAATCATTCCTGAAAGATATTTTATTTTCGAGATGTGCGAATAGTTCGAATTCGAATTGAGAATCGAATCGAATCGCAGTGGATTCGATTCGAGATCGTTTTCGAATCTGTAAGATTCGAAATCGAATAATTCGAGAATTTCGATAACAATGTTTCGATTTCGAATAGATCACCTATTTTATTTGCTTTATTTTTAACTCCCGCGCGATCAATTATTCTTATTTAATAAATAAGTATTTTTGATGTATGTAATGTATCCATGTAGATTAATATAGAAAATATTCAAAAACATTAAAACTATTCGTGTATACACAAATTATTAATTACATATTTTCTAGTTCAAAATGTCACATAAGATCATAATCCTTTGTAATGAGACGTAAATCGAAAACAGATCTTCAGTTTGTTTAAATTATTGCGTAAAACAATGTAATTCATAAATTTTGATATTTATTACGTTTAATAATTTAACGTGTGCTGTCGATCTTGGGAAAATTTGATTCAAATTCGTTTCGTATTCGAATTAAAGAGATTAGATTCGATTCAATTCAAAGTAAAAATTTCAGATTCGATTCAATTCGATTTGATTCGATACAAATGTTTGATTCTCACACAGCTCTACTTTATTTGTAAATTTATTCTTGTAAAATAAGAAATTGATAAAAAATACTTAAATTGTTAATGTTTCAGTTATAAAAAATTAAACTATTTAAATATTTTTTACCTTTAGATCATCTGGATGACGTATAAATACAATCGGAAGATAAAATGCCCAAATTTTATAAATGGGATAGTATTGATCAAATAGATTCATCACAGTCTTCCATAATTCTTCTAAAAGATGTATGTATGTAACATAAATATAAAGAAATATTATGAACCATTTAATTGTGATATTACGTATGTAATATGTGATATTTCGATTTTTAGCTGCGTTGAAAATCCGATGATTATGCGGCGTGCGATTTATTTGAACCGATAAATTGTAAGATTCACACAGTATAGTATTATCAAGCACCAAGATCCATTTGGACTGTATTGGCGTTTTTCTTAATTTCAATGAAATTATTTTGTTTGAAATGCTATAGTAGTATTTATTTGTGTTTGCATACTATTTAGTTATTCAAGTAATATATTTGTTCAAATTCCAAGTATCAAATTGACTAAACGATACTGATGGGGATATATAATAAATAGTGTATATTTTTAATCGAACGATTGTTGAAATACAATAAATTTTTGTTGAAACAAAATAGTTTATTTAAAAAATAGTATTTTGTTTATAATAGTAACAAGTTATTTTGTGTCATCGTAGTAATGTTTAATAGAATATATCAGACTAAATATTTTGATAAGATGAAACAAATTTTGCGTTTTTCAACAATTTTTTTTTTTAGTGTATAAACTAAATTATTTTTACAGAGTTCTTCACCTGCTTTGTCTTCATTTATTGACTAAAAATCATTTATTTCTTGAATAGAACTTGTCAGTCTATTTGTTGTACTTAAATTGAGTTTTTACAACAATATTCGGCGCCAAACTTTTATCTTGATCAATTTTGCACCCAAAATAATAATAATGAGCTTTTTTTATTTAAGAGATTATATTACATTTTTGTTATGAAAATGTTACTTTCTCACACACGTACGTATAACAAAAATTAACACTATTTGAACATAAACATGGCATTTTTGTATGAATTAACCATAAAATCAATAAAATGCGTATAAAATAGCAAAGGAAACGTAAACTGCAGTAGCACAGATACAATAATAATAAAATTAAGGAATAGAAACAATTGAGTAATACGTAATTCTTACAATACCACTATTCCAATCAGTCAGTAAGTTCATAAGAAATTTTAAATTACCTCGTGAATAACCTATAAATTTCACAATATTTCCAGCAATCGGATAACCTGGTGGTCCTGGTATACGATTGATAAGTCGTCCATTTTGTCGATAATGTACGTAATAATTATATACCAATATGATAAAGATAGATAATATCGACAATATAGTGATCATCGTTAGTAGATGTAATTAGCCAGTCTAATTAGTTCAGCTTCCTTCAGCTTTTTTAAAATTATGATACAAATCATGCGTAATATTTGCTTCAGAAGTGTTCGTTGCTATCTAAATATTCTAAATTTATTATATAAAAAAAAAATACGTTAAAATGTATGTGACATTTTATAGTTTTATTATTTAAAATTTTAATGTATAACTCAGATTGGGCTAATGAGAGTCAAAGCGGTTGTTCGTATTCACAATATGTATTCCGAAATTTACAATAATTAACAGTACGTTTCGACTTTATTTTGAGTCATCTTCAGCCGCATAATTAAATAGAATATGAACGATAACTGACCATCGATTATACAGCGAGAAAGTCACTGGCGGTTTCCAATTCCGCAGTGATCCCTTACAAAAAAATATGATTGCGAGCCAATGATATTATTAACCAATAGTTACTGTAATTTGGCGAATAGTAACTATTAGCGTATAGTAACCCTTGGCGAGTAGTAACTGTAGTACACTATTCGTCAATGGTTACTATTCGCCAATGGTTAGAAGAATAATTACTATTAATAGGATTTTTTATATATATTTTAATGAAAGATTCGTAAATACAATATATATATTAATAACAATTTATTTTTAAAATAATACGTATATTTTATCTTTTACAAAATAAGTATACAAACTTTTTTAATACGCA